TTTTAATTAAAGATTTTAAACTTTAATTAAATTCATTATGAACATTGCTTTTTGATTATTATCCTTAAACATTATCCTCTCGTATATAACACTTATATACAGTGTTTAAGGTCACATAAATAATCATGGAATTTTCATTGATATTCATAAAATATTCATAAATATATGCACATAAAATAATGAATAAACTCCTTTATTAAATAAATAATAAATATCCTATTACATCTCATGCTTCTAGGACAGGGCGCGGGTGTCTTACCTGAGCTTCCTACAACACGAACAAACGTAATGAGCTTTCGTTCAGCAAGTAACATTAGGCCATAGTAAAAGCATACAATAATGCATACCCATATATGCATTCATGTCATATATCCTAAGACATTCTGTACTTCTAGAATGTATATCGCTTATGTTTTTCTTCTTTCATTACGTACTTTGTTCAGCTTTCGTCTCTTTTTTAGTCGTTCACATTGTATTTTCACGTTCTGAACGACTTTCATATTGTGTTTCTCTCTTTTCTTTCTTTTTTATAGATATCGTACCCTTATATGGAACGATTTCTGTTTTTCATTTTCTTGTATTTTACTTCTTAGGGGCCCTATCTTATTGTACCATAGCGCGCATAACCAGTGAGGAGTGGGGTAGCTAACCAATCCAACTCAGTCACGGTTTCATTTCTTTCATAGTCTCATAATAACCTTTCCTTTGAAGGCTGGTATAAACAGGATGTTTGGTATCTTACCGTTTATCAATTTTCTCATTGAAACGGCAACTTTAGTTAAATCTTATGACTTTATGCATTTTTGAGCAATTTATCATGATTTCTTTATACGTCATTTTATTGTCATATTTTCTCAGCATGACAGTAATTTCAATCTTATTTTGTGTTTTAACGCATTTCCATCAATTTTCTATGAAATTGTCTTTGACTTAACGTCATACTTTTTGTAGAGTAAAATTCTACTACTATTTACGGTCCATAAGTACATTCATAGCACTGTACATCTTAAAACATTCCTAACATCATACATCTTGAATCGTTCATAGTATCATACATTATTCAAGAAACACCATTCTTATTCTAACATTCATTGAGCATGTAATATGCACAATTCTGTGCAACACAGAAGAATAAGTTCGTTCGTGTCATAGACAAAAACAAACTACTGGTACTTACCTGCTTTCCTGTTATAGCATAATTCTCTACTCGTCTAGATCTTCTATCATTTATTGCTAAGTTCTGTAACTAAACACCCATTCAGAGGGTGGGATTAACCTTTAGTATGCCATTTTATGTAGCATAGTCATAAAAGAAATGAAATCCTTTCTTATAGAACGTATTTATCCTTTTTATTAAGGATCATAAAAATTATAATTTATATTATAAGGACTAATTAAATCCTCATAATTCTATCTTCCATAATTGCCTTTACGAATTCGTGAATTCATAAATAACATATCCCATGGATGTCATATGTCTAAATTACTTATCATTAATTATACTGTACTTGCCTCAATTCCGAGCTAAGCGGTTCCGGTAATACCCGCTTGTCGTGTTTCACTGCGTATCTCCTTGATATCTGTTCCAAGAGAAATCATAAACGCTTTGAATGATCCACTAGCATCATTGAAGTGTTAGACATTCAATTCTGAACTTCAATGAATCCGTTCGATTCACCTCGATCTACGTGCAATCGGTACCATACCAGTTATATCAAAATTGAATTTGGTCGAATGGAGGTCACCATTGCATTCACCACGTCGAAACGAGTCGGAATATGGTATCGGATCATTAAACGGAAGTCGATAGCCTGAGAAACGACACCTTGCCGGAATACGGCGGCGGTGTACGGCGGAGTACGGCGGCGCAGGCTCCCGGAGAGTTTTTTCGCGGCGGACTTGGGTCCTACCCCCCCTAAATCGACCTTTATGAGTCCATTGGTGCTGTCAATTTCACACCATTCGGCTTGTAATGGTACATATCAGGATTGGCAACGTCGGTAAAATCCGGCGACTCAAATCTCACATTTCTGGTCATGAAATCTTAAAATTGGTTGAGGGGTTTTCTTACCCATGATCTTATCAGTGTTTTGACATGAAACTCACGACGATCTAACGGTCCGATCGTCGGAACCAACCTACACCATCACGACAGTGGCAGCGAGCTCTGTTTCTGGCCAAATGGCGACGGTGATGGCTGAATCTAGTCGGGATCGACTCGTCTATTAACTCTGAATCTAATGGTAGGGGTGGTGACACCCACGGCGTCCCGGAGGAAGAAAAACGACGACGGCGGCGCGGTGATTCTGACCACCACGGATGGTGGTGCTCCGGCCATAATTGAGCTATGAAAATAGGTGGGTTTTTTTCGTCTCGCTGCATTGAGTCCATAGGGACTGAAATCACCTCAATCAGAGGTCGGATGAAGGAAATATCGCGATCAAAAGTTTTGGTTGTTTTTGAAACTTCGGCCGGTGATTGCGGCTTATTCCGGCGGAGTTTGGGGTCGTGCGACCTGTCAAAATGCTCAGCTCGTCGAAAGCTTTCCATTGACACCGACTGTGTCGAAAATGGAGGTCCGAATCTCAAATTGAGATTTTGGCCATGGACGGTTTTATTTTGAGAGAGAACGTCCGAGAGAAGAGAGAAACAAATGCGTGAGAGGAGAGAGAAAGTTAAATCCTTAGAACTTATCCTTAAAAGTTCTCTCCAAACAGATATAATTTATTCTAGCTAGAGATTATTTACTTCACCGACAGAAAATTTAATTTTCTCACGAGTTCTCTTTTATTATTTACTTACAGTCCAATCTTAATCTCTAAATAATTTAATATCGTTTTATATTGTTAATTGTATATTAAATTAGACTATTTCAAGTCTTAAAACTATTTTTAGGCTTAATAGTCAAAACTTGACTTTTTTTTTTTTTGTATTTTGTCTTCTCTCTCTCATAACCATATCTTGTAACTAACGTCAAAACTTAACATTATAAGCACTGTACTTATATTTTCTTATGAATATATCGACGTAATTATGAAAAATCCTTAATTAATTCTACTTATTAATTATTAGATTTTCTTGAATATTACATAAGGTTGTGAGATCTTATCCTTGGGTGGTGAAACATTTCATTCTTTAAATTTTCTTTAAAAAAAAAAAAAAAACAACCCTTCACAGCGTCTTTTCTCATATCCTAAACCTGTTTGTAGAGATTCATTATCAATTTGCCAAGAATTATTAAGGGCATGTTTAGTTTGCCGATTTAAGTTTTTAATTTGAGTTGATATGTCACTTTATGTGAGAGCTTTTTACTGTAGCAAAAATGTTAGATGTGACAGTTTTTGTGGGTTTTTTACTGTAGTAAAACTTGAATTGGTGAAATGAACGAAATCTAAAATTGCACAAGATATTGAGGATTATTATAATCATTTTTAAATTTATAAAAATTGATTTTTTTAATATTAAAAAACTGATTCTCAAATTGGATAAAATCTGCTAAATATCAAAGAGATAAGGGGATTAATTTATCAAAATTTTAAAAAAAAAAAAAAGGACCCAGGACCGATTTGTCCGAATCATAAAGAGAACTTTTTATTTTTTGTTTTTTTGAGTTCATTAACAATAAAATAAAATCATACTTTTTGAAAACGTTGATTATTGCACAAATTCGTTTTTGGTCTCAGAGAGAGAGAGAGAGAGAGGTAAAGCCAATGGCCGGAGAAGGATCGGCTGCGACGTCGTCGTTATCGGAGGAGGAGCTTACGCTGACGGTGAAATGGAGCGGCAAAGAGTATACTGTCCGAGTTTGTGGCGACGACTCGGTGGGCGAGTTGAAACGCCGAATCTGCCAACTCACCAACGTCTTGCCCAAACGCCAGAAGCTTCTTTACCCAAAACTCATCGCTTCAAAGCTCGCCGATGACTCGGTCTTGCTCTCGCATGTCCCTCTCAAATCCTCTCTCAAAATGACCATGATCGGGTTTTCCCTTTTTCTCTCTTCTTCTTTCTTAACTACTTATGCGCACCAACTGTTTGATAATTTGCTTGAACTAGTTTTTTTTTTTTTTTTCCTAAATTGTGCATTGCTGCTGTTATTCCCAATTTTTTTTTTTTTTTTTTGAAAATGATTATGCGCGCCGAGTGTTTGATTCATGGATTTCGATTAGTCGTCTGTTGCGTTTTGCGCGGCAACTGCTCGACAAATTGCTTGAACTCCCAGTTTTTTGGAATTACTGTTTTGTGATGTGGTCGAGGTTAAACTGGATTTTTACAGAACTGTGGAAGATGAAATAATAGTGGACCAAGTGGAGTCTCCGGAAATTGTTGATGATTTTGAGCTTGGACAAGATGAAGCTGTCGATATCAAAGATAAAGAAGTTAACAAACAGAAGTTGAGGAGGCGCATAGATCAGTGCAAGGTAGTAATTACCCAAAATTTCAAAAGGCTGTTTATGTGATTGCGAATAATGCCAGGGATCGCAACTTATATACGAAATTTATAATACAAACTGACGTGGATTATGAGTCGTCATTCTTTTACTGATAGTGTTTAAAAATTGTTGCATCTATTAATGTTAAAAGATTGCATGTTTGCTATTAAAAATATGACAAATCTCCTCCACGTGAATTTGTATCACAAAGTTTTGATCCCTATCCCTGTCATTTGATTATTGATGTGCATGTTGTATTTTTGTTTTTTTTTTAAATTTTTGGTGCAAATACTTATTTTCCTAAATAACATACTGTTATTGATGAATGGGACTTTTTCATTTTACTGAAAGAGTAATGACTAAGCATCTTTATCAACTGATGATAGTCATGAATATTTGAGGTGCATGTGCATGAGCCATGGTGTAATCCTAAATGGATATGATCATTTTTTTCAAAATTGAATGTTGGTTATAGCCGTATTTTAGGATGTGTAGAACAGAATTCCCTATTCAATACATTCTTAGCTTGACATGTTTGTTTTACTTCCTTTTGTTATGTAATGGATTGTAGATTGAGCTTCGGAATCCATGCCGTGAGGGGAAGAAACTGCTTGTTCTGGATATTGATTATACTCTATTTGATCACCGGTCTACAGCAGAAAATCCTCTTGAACTTATGCGGCCTTGTAAGCAATCTGTTTTAATAAACCGATTCACACAAACATATATGTATATTATATATATATATATATATATATACACACACATTATCTGTCTATTAAACTTTGACTTTGTTTTGCCAGATCTTCATGAGTTTCTCACGGCTGCTTATGCAGAGTATGATATCATGATATGGTCTGCAACCAGGTCAGATATCCATGCAGCTCATTTTCTCTTTTAGTTCATCATATTTTGTGGATTTCTTATGTTCATAAATAAGAACATTTCTACACCTATAGGGCTCAAAAGGTTAATTTACGTTAAATAGCTTGTCATTCTAATGACCACCAATTATTTGATATGAAATTGTACAAGATATATCTCTTCCATTCTACCTGAAAGACTACATTCATGATGACTGGGACATAATTCTCAATACAGCAGTCCAATTATTGTACTTTTTAAGTGAAAGAATCTAGCATTCAGTGCCGCTTAAACCTAATTATGCATTCAAGTCCTAAATGGATTATGTATAATAAATTCGAGAAGCAAATAAACAATGACATTGGAATACACTGATTCAAAAGGAACAAATTATATGCTGAATCTCTTATTCTATTTTGAAAGTAGAAGCTCTTGTACTGATTGGTCAAAGATGCATCGGCTTAAGAGTGAGAGGACATTGTCGAAAGAATGCGCAAAGGCATTCTTGTTGTAGTTTTGCGAAATATTAGATCTAATGTCCACAAAGATGTTGTCAAAGTTGAAAATTTGATATCTTACTTCCCTGTAAAATATCACACAGTAGGGTAAAATATCACACAGTAGGGTTCGTAGCTGTCTTCGATATAAGTGCTTTATTTTCAAATGATTATAATAGAAGGAGACAGATAGAATCTTAGTTCATGACTTTGTTCCTTCCCATTGTCCTAGTGATACCTGATTTATTACATACCAAAGTATACAAAAGTGAAGAGTGAAATATGGCAGAAGGGTACTCGGTACTCCAAGACTTTTTGTGATACCTTGCAACAAAAAAGTTATAAAGTATGAGAAGTACAGACTATTTATTTTAACTTCATCAGTGATTAGCCACTAAATGGAAGTTTTCACGAACATTTATTGCAATATGTGGTATTATTCTAGTTTCTCAAGTAATTGGATACGCGAAGCTCATTTGCTACAGTGTATTCTTTATTTACGCAGCATGAAGTGGGTTGAATTGAAAATGGGACAGCTCGGAGTACTCAACAATCCTAACTACAAAATCACGGCACTTCTAGACCACTTAGCAATGATTACAGTCCAATCAGATACTCGTGGGATCTTCGATTGCAAGCCGCTAGGCTTGATTTGGGCTCATTTTCCAGAGGTATGAACTTTTATTGATCTCCACCAGCTCCCGCCCCCTCTTTGTTCATGAAATATTACTATTGTATTTATCTGGATGTGGAATATTTCACGCTTAGATTTCAAGGAAGAAAACAATTATATGCAATTATGCCAGTGCCAGTGAAAGGGTATAAAGTTGTTTAGATAAATGAATCGAACGAAGAAGCAGATGATATTCATTTTCTTCTTACCCTGATAAAGCGTTTTTTCCTTGTACCAAGTTACAGTTATCCAATCTTAAAGGGAGAAATAAAGTGCGAGAGTAAAACAGAATATTTCTTTTGTCCTTCGATAAAAAAAAAAAAAAGAAGAATATTTCTTTTGTATGAAATGTTTGCAACTGCCTTGTGGTATAGGTTTAATTTCATTTTTGTCTGTCACTCATCGCACCACATATTTGATCGATTCTGCTGCTTCTTGTGTTTCAGTTTTACAGTTTGAAAAATACTATTATGTTTGATGATCTGAGAAGAAATTTTGTGATGAACCCTCAAAATGGCTTGACAATCAAGCCATTCAAGAAGGCTCACTCAAGCCGTGGCAGCGATCAGGAGCTCGTGAAGCTCACTCAATATTTACTTGCCATTGCGGAGCTTGATGACTTGTCTGCCCTAGATCATAGTCATTGGCAGTCATTTACTGAGGACAGTGTGAAAAGACGTAGGCATGCATGAATGAGCAATGTTAAGACCTTTGGAAGTCTCATTTTCTTGCTGATATCCACTTTTGAAGTTATTTATTTATTTATGTCGTTTTGTCCAATTCTAGTGCATATCTGCCAAACTACTCACTGTTTTTACCCTCTATGAATCCAAAAAAAAAAAAAAGAAGAAAAGCAAGAACTTATCATTATACGTAGGCTCCAGTTGTAAAGGAGTATCCGTGTGGAGATGGAAATGTGATATTGGGAAGTATTTGTGAAACCAGTAGAGTTGCTGGGGTTCTAAATAAACATGCCAGCAGATTTTTGGGAGCCAAAAAATTACTCATGTCTATATCTCATGTCTATATATATACACACACACATATATATATATATATATATTTTTAAAAATAAAGTTTTGTAATTGGAAGGAGATTTAGATGAAAGAAAAGGTGTATAAGATCTTGGGGGAACAGGTTTTTCACCCTTTTGAATATCAACTTTGACATGCACTAAATAGTGGGAGAGCACCGCTCTCACTAGGACTCATTTCAAAGAAACCTGCAATTGAAAGCGCAAAACAAGAATCAAGCAAACAAAGAGAGAAGCGACTGAACTAGAACAACTATGGTGAGGGCCTATCATCCAACAAAACATCCTAACATTCATACTAACATAGGATGAGAAGAAGCGAAGAAAACTCATAAAGAGCGATCCTTCAAGAAATGGGGACAAACGGTCTCCGTGCCCGTACCCAACAGCGTAGCAACGGTCGTGTTTGGAATTGATCCCGTTTTTATTTTTCATGTTTTTTGAGAAAGAAAAAATAAAAACGTTTTCAAAACGGCGTTTGACGCAATAAAGATAAAAAATAGAAATGAAAACGATTTTTTATTTTAGTGTAAAATGAGAGAAATAAAAAACGATTAAAAGTCATTTTTATTTTTTGTTTTTTTACTTTATAAAACTACTAAACGCATTTGAAGATCACAAAGACAGACGGCCACCTCCAAAGCGCAATGCATTGCAGCAGCCTCTGCAACGGTGAGATCCGGAAAAGGAGATGAGAAAGTGACAACATGAATCACCTTAAGCTCATAGCTCATCTTTTAATTCGACGAGGGGTGAGATTGAGAAGCTCAAAATAATGCAAAGCCTTGTCAAGGGAAAAGAGATCCGGGAACACTGACAACAGAGAGTTCGCAGAGGCCGTGAGGTCTGATGACCGAATAACACGAGAACAATATATTTCAGGACTTTAGTTCACATATAAAGCATTTTTCAAATTTATTCGTTTACACTAGTCGACTCAAATTTGATTGGCTCAGAAGAAATCTGAAAAATATAAAGGACGAAAAATAACTGACTGCCCAGAAAGGCAGCCAAATGCCACGGATCATCATACAACACCTTAAAGCTCTTTTTTTTTTTTTTTTTGAACTAATTAATCCTTGAGCATTATAAGCACTAAAGTAATACTACTCTACATAGTGGTTAAAAAAATGAAAAATAAATAAGAATAAAAATAAACTGACACTCAATCTAACACATGGATGCATCCGAACCTAAACATCGCCAAAAAGACACACACACACACACACATATATATATATATATATATTTATATATCAGAGATATAGTTGTAAACCAATATTGATAAACAAAAAAGCAAAAACAATAACTACTCTTTAATAACGTTAATATATCGCTTAATTTTCCATTAATTTTTAGGAGACACTTTTCTGTTTGCAATACTAGTCCAAATATGCTTCTGTTATATATATATATGTATTTGCATGCCGATCGAGCGTGAAAGAAAACCACATAATCAATAAACTTCTGTTATATAAATATATATATATAGTTTAATTAATTTTCTTTTCCTCCAAACGAACGGGTTACTTAAGTTCATTGCTTGGAGGCAAATAGTGCAACTTAGAATTAAATTGGGGATTTGAATTTTGGGTAAATTAAAAGAACTCAATCCTTGGTTTTTGAAAAGATTGAAAATTCTAATCCAAATGGCCATTCAGGCCGCTTTCATATTCTGCTTCTTCTCTCTCATCAGCTCCTTCCCATCGCCTTCTTGTAAGTAGTATTGCTCCTTTATTTTATTATTATTATTTTTTTTAAAAATATGGTCACGGACTTAATTTATATCCAATTTTTTCATATATATGAGAATTTGTCTAATTTATCAGATTAGTGAATATCTATTGTATATTCCTTATATTTTCTAATTGAAATGCAGATGGGTATGATCCCTTGGATCCTAATGGCAACATGACCATCACATGGGATTTTATTCTTCAAAATGGCAATCTTTATGATGTGAGTTTTTCAAATCCTTATAATTTCTCCTCCTTTTTATGTTTTCTTAATTTCCTGTCCATTAGATAGGCTACTTTATATGTAATCAGGAATTTCTCGTGGTTAATTCTCATATATATATATATATGTATATATATAGTTGTAATTGCAAAATTGAAATCAACAACTTTGATCTGAAATATATAATGGGCCAAGTAGACAAAGTATGTGTTAGTGATTTTAGATATGGGTTGCGTTTCTTATTTTCTGTTTTCCCTCCCAATCCATTAGGTTTTATGGGATACTCAAATCACTTTTTTTTTTTTTTAATTGTATTTGATTTTGGGTTATGAAGTTTCAATTTGTTTGTCTGAATTTGCATGGGATGTGACAGCTGAAGCTCACGAGTTGTGTATATAATGGTCCTTAATTTGTCTGCCCAATGACACTGAATTCCATTAGGCATTTGTTGTTGGCCCACACAGCAATTAGCTCTGTAATTCTGGTCAGTGAATCAACGTTACTTTCCCAGGAAAACTTAAAATAATGATAATAAGGGGGAAAGAAATAAAATCAACGTTAGGCAATGGAGGTTGGCGCATGGCTAGTGTTTGGCCCATGTCCTTGTAGGCCTCTCAATTTTGTAGGACCCATGTCCTTGTATGTCATATGATATTACCTAGGCATGAGTAAAAATTAAATAGAGTTGTCTTATTTGTCCATTCCCACCCTCTCACAAAAAAAATGAATGGACCATTCTCCATGAGAGAGTGAATATATATTCCCATCTACAATCCAGTTATACTAACATTTTTCATATGTTATCTTATTTGTTTAATTAGCACCTTATACTATACTGCACTCTCACGTATGTATACTCTATAGTGTAGTGATTATTTCAAGGTCACTAAATTCACAAGTTTCATGCACACAAGATTAAATCTTTTTATACATAGAATGTACTGCTTAATCCAAGAGAGACTAATAGGATCTACTTGTTAAATACATTTATCAATGATTCCTTGGATAAGAAGCTTTGTCCTTTGAGTAATTTGATTTAATTCCTCAGATAACAGTATCAATACGCAACAACCAATTGTTCCGCCATGTAGAAATGCCTGGGTGGAAGGTAGGTTGGGAGTGGAAAGGCGAGAAGGTCATATGGAACATGTGGGGCGCCGAAGCCACCGAGCAAGGGAATTGCTCGAGGTTCCGAGGCAGCGGAGAGCTCCCTCACTGCTGCGAGAGGCAGCCGCGGATTGTCGATCTCATGTTGGGAGCTCCTTGTAATAAGCAAGTCTCCAATTGTTGCAAAGGAGGGGTTCTGGGGTCACTTGTTCAGGACCCCACAAATTATGTATCCTCTTTTCGGATGATTGCTGGAGCTGATACCAACAATGTTACGGACATACAAATGCCCAAGAAATTCACTCTTGGATTGCCTGGTTATACCTGTGGAAACCCTTTTGAGGTCGCGCCGACCAGGTTTAGCCAGGATGGTGGCCGGAGATATACACAAGCTCTTGGTGAGTAAAATTTGTTTTTGTATCTTCATGTGAAAGAGTTATATACATATATATATATATAGCTGAGATCATAACAACTTGCAACTTGAAAAAAAAAAAAAAAAAGTGTTATATAACAAGTAAGTTAGTTTGAATGTGCGGCTTAATTTGTTCCAGCGACATGGAATGTGAACTGCATCTACTCTCAATTTCGAGCATCAAGTGCACCAAAATGCTGTGTGTCATTGTCTGCGTTTTACAATGAAACAATTGTGTCTTGCCCAAAATCGAGCTGTAACTGCCAAGGATTACCTGGATCAAGCTGTGTAAAGTAACTACTCTATAACTTGTTCTTCTATCTCACAATAAAGTTGATTACTTTTTAGTCAAAACAACTTGTCTGGTTTCTCTTATGCTCGCTCTACAAAACCACCTTGTCTTAGTCTGTGTGGAAAATTTGCAGGCCTGGGAAAACACCTCCCCTGTTGGAACTTCCACACACAGGTGAGAGGGAAGAGGAACAAGTGTCGCCTTTCGTGAGATGTTCGAAGCACATGTGTCCGATTCGGGTTCACTGGCATATCAAACAAAACTACAGACAGTATTGGCGTGTGAGGATGACCCTCACAAATCTCAACTACATCAACAACTACTCTCACTGGAATTTGGTGGCTCTCCATCCCAACTTTAGAAATGTCATTCAGGTCTTCAGCTTCAACTACCGACCCCTCAATCAGAATGGCAACTTCAGTAAGTTCAACCAAACCAAACCAAACCAAACCAAACGCCCCGCGCATTTTTCTTAACATTGAGATGAGAGGACCCTTTTTTTATGCGAGTTTTAACATTGATTGAGGTGATACATATATATATTCCAGATGACACTGGCATGTTCTGGGGAATTCAGAACTACAACGAGATGTACAAACAGAGATGCTACTGCACAAGGATCCAAGAACCTTCACTTTCAAACAAGGATGGGCTTTTCCCAGAAAGATCTCCTTCAACGGCGACGAGTGTGTCATGGCACCTCCGGACGAGTACCCGAGGCTCCCCAGCGGGGCTCATATTTCCATTGCACCGACGCCTTTATTATTGACCTTCTCATTGTTTCTACTCGCAATAGTGTTCTCACTGACGTAATAAATTGAACCTCATTTGTGTACGCAAATTTCTCACTGACGTAATAAATTGAACCTCAAAATTTCAGGTTTTTCAGAAATTTCGTCCCTACCTGATCTTCTTCATAAGCAGGAAAAGAAAAAAAGAAAAGAAAGAATCTGCATTAATCGGTGGTCAAATTTATTTGCTACAAACATAAAAGAAAAACAGCAGTAGAGTCGGCTCGTCGCCACAGGCCCACAAGATCAAAGTAGACAGCTAGCTAAGCTAAGTCTGGGTCCTGGGAGGAATAAATAATTCCTTTTTTTTTTTTTTTTTTTTTGCCGAGTAAAAACACAAAGGTATTTCATTAAAACACAGTTTACAAGTAGACAAATGTATGCACTACAAATGAAGTGCATCCAAGAGCTCTAAGAATCCTCCCACTAGGACATTTTCCGGTGAATAAGGAAAAAAAATGGAGCATACAACATTTATGAATTTATCAATAATGATTACTTAAACATACAACATAGACTGGAAGCTGTTCTGAGTTACCACCTCCGGTAAGTTGCCTGCCTGATATTGAACAAGTCTCGGGCAGCGACTACCAGGTGCACATGAAGATAGTAAGGTAACCGAAAAGAGCGTGAAACAGTCAAATTCAAAACGCACAAAATAGCAGAAAAAGAGGGCAGCAAGCTAGGCAAGCTCAGCTTTATCCCTCACAAGGGAAACAACAATTATGGTTAGATGTTCCAATGTCAATCAAAGGAGAGAAGTTGACCGTGATGGGCCTACATTTAAATACGAAGTTCACCCGTCACAGAATCACGACCTGCATTTCCATCCTTGTGTTTCAAAGAGAGATTTGAGAACTGAGAATCAAGGTCTCTGCTGTTACTGCGCCTATGGCTAGAGGATGGCTGCTGTGGCTGCTGATACAAGGCTCTTAGCCTGCCAATCTCCCTCTCCAGGACTTCATGCTCCACTGAACATGGTAAACATGGCCAAAAATATCTTAGACATCTTTCAATATGGAAAAAAAAAAAAAAAAAAGTAAAAGAAACTGCTCTAAACATGGAGATCAGTGAAATCTCTTTCGAGGCACGGCCTCAATTCTGTTTGTTTTTTAGTCTAACAAAAAGAATTGATGGTTAATTTTAAACATCGAAAAGGCCAACTAATCTCCAAGGAACTAATATCTGGAAATCTTGGAATAATTTTCAGAGGGCCGATAGCTTTCTATATGAAAAAGTAAGTGTCTTTTAGCCATACCGGAACACAACTATCATTACCAAGCAAAGTATATCATGCCCTCTTAAATAATAAATAAATCCTAAATTTTATTCCAAGATGCAATTTATGCACCTTAATTCTGAAATCCACCTTTAAAATGCATTTTGGTCATCCAAAACGCACCGCTTTGATCTCTTTTTCTTTGTTTTTTTTAACCTTTTTCCTTTCTTTCCTTTTGTTAACTTTTTTTTACCCTTTCTTTCTCTTGTCCATTTGTCTACTATAATTTGTTACCCTTAAAACCGCTTAAATCTTTATTTTATGCACCTTAATTCTGTAATCCACCTTTAAAATTGTGCAATCTGAGGCGCGCCTCAAGGTGATGCAGTATAAAATCGCCATGACGCTTAAGCCTCACTTGGAATACACCACGAAACTGAAATAATTATCTTATGATTTTAGAACAAAACTGTAATAATTATTTTATGATTTTAGCGCGAGGCATTTTATAGAAAACCCATCAGATAATAGGAAAACCCTAGACCCTAAAAGAAAACTTGAAGAAGAAACATTACAACTATTTTGTATTTTATTTTGAGGCCTGCGCCTCAAAATGCCTTGAGGCTTTTGTCTTGCCTCACAAAACAAAACATCTATTTTTAAAACCTAGTCGGTAATCATTATGTAATGATGAACTAAACTACACTTAGAATAAATGAAACGTAAGGGTGTAAAATTGACCCAGATCTAGGTTCGCAAAAGGTTCACCCATCTGAAAAGTTTGAATCTCCAGAAAAATAATCTAAAATGGTAAATTACATGGGACATAAGGAAGGAAGTGCTGGCAAGCTCTAATCCTTGCCACCCGGCTTCTAAGAAATGCACCAAAGATCTGAACAGCCACATTTTCAACGAATTTTTTTAGAGCATGCTGACTTTATAAAAGTTTTTAAAATACACTTCTTGAAATTCCAAAGATTCTTGACAATTATCAGTAGTTACGTATACTATGCACGAGCTTGATTACCAAGGAGTAGTTTTATCATCATCGAACCGACATTAGGCTTTCCATTAAAAAGCCCCAAGGAAATGAAAACTAGTTTCGAAATATTGAAAACTATCAAATGAAGACAAGGGAAAAAAAAAAAAAAAAGATAAATAAAGCAGCCAGTTGCACATGTCATCAAGAGCTGACAGTCAACTAACGAAACTTACAGTGTTTAATAAGTTGCTCCTGCGCCAAGCTTTCTAAGCGCTGCTTAAGAGCTTTGTTCTCCATGCTTAGTATAAGATTCTGCTGGTTGAGAAATTCAAGCTCTGCTGAAACTTCAGTCCCTTCTGCCTGTAGAGTGGTGACGCATGCATAAACAATAAAATAACTATTTTGTATGAACTTATTTTTTGAGAAAGAGAAAATTTACTATGAGGCAAAAGAAAAAGTGCCACGAGGTACAACAACCACGGACGAGTCAAGGCTAAAACTGAATGATTTTTCATTAAACAACAATCCAGAATTCAACTCCAGACTGAATCATATCATATTTGTAGCCAGGCTGATACTTGCCTGTAAAGCTTGTACATTTCTTTCCAGTTCAGCTATGTACTGAAGTTTACGGACCCGTGAACGTTGTGCAAATTGCCTGCAATAATAGAATTCACTTCATCAACTTAGAGGACGTTTGGTTTATGTATTCAGAATCATGATTCAGAATCATTCTCATTTTATGTGTATTTTTTGTGAGAGAAAACACCGTAGAAAATCATAAATTATGATTCAGAATCAGGGACGAATATAGGAAACAAGCGTCCCTAGCCTTCCATTCATAGTCTTGCTCCAGAACATTAGCACTCTTGTTTCAATTTTTCAAATCGGGAACAAAATCTGAGTGAAACATGATCTGCCATAATTAACCTAACACAACTGAAGGACAAGAAACTATAAAGTTATAATATGTGAAAAAATATACAAATAGTTTTTCTTTATGAGAAAAGCTTTCTTTGTTAAAAAAAAAAAAAAAAAAAAAAAAAAAAAAAAAAAAAAAGGGGTAAATGTGTATTAAACTATAGGGCTACAAACTGTTTAGCATCTAAACTATTAAGCCAATAGCTCATTGCAGAGACACACACTACATAATCACTTCAACTCCTTTCTGAAAATCATAAATTCTTTTAAGCTAGTTGACTCCCATTTTCCCTTTTCAGTGTGCATTTGATTAAGCAAGCTATCCTTATTAGTTTCTAGAGCTACATTTGTGATTGTGAATAAATATATAGCTCTAGAAACTAAAATAAAATAATCTTAAATTGCAACCCATAAAATAAAATAACTCATCAGTTTGAAATGTATCAACGAGTGCGCACACAGATGTTTAGTAATTTTATACTGTTCGGGTAGCGGTTCAGCATTTTCACTAGCCTAAATTCAAAGTTGGATTGTGCAATGGATTTTTATGTTTGCAGCCACAATATGCATGAATCAATTTAGAAAAAGAAAAAAATAAAAAAAAGGAGAAGCGTTCCATCAACAAGCAGAGAAGAATTCCAGAGTCCCGCTATTCTCACACACACGCACACACAATATACAATATACATAATCGAAAAGGGGTGAAGAAGAAAGAAAACAAGATACATACTGTTTAGCACGTTTGGTATCTGTCTCTGATGAAGAGGGCTTCGTAGTAGAACTATCCTTTTTCTCATACAGTTTTGGATCATGTGAACCAGTTTCAACTACATCATGTTTTTCACTTGCCGTAGATGGAAGGCCATCTGCTTCCTGGGGCATGCAAAAAGCACCTGAACCCTGACGAACGATGTTGTCCTTGACACTAGGAAGGCCACTTAGGTTATTTACAATGCCTAAAGAAGGGTCCCACGCTCTATTCTTCTGTTTTGCCATGTTCATTTCTGCATAGAACGAAGCATGTCGCAAATCTTTATGATGATCAAAGTCTTGAGAACCCCAAGAGGGCGCAGTGATCATATTATTATATTTGTAATCATCCTGAGCTGCATAATCAATGTTTGAAACGTTAAACGTGTCTACATATGCGAAAGAGTCGCTTGATGAACGCCGATGCCCTCCCCTGCGTACAGGTGTTTCAGGTTCATCAAGGAGATCATCGAGCCAAGAAGGTTGATCCTCCGAAAGGAGGCCCTCTGAGGACGTTCGTTGGTGGTGAGTATTTCCCTCTCTGGGTTTCTGAACAGCTTTGGAACCAATCGCAGGACTAAGAATGTAATCGGCATATGACGGCGAAACACTGGGAAATGGACTTTTAGGAGGAAGCAAAGCATGTTTTCCAGAGTACATCAAATTTCTAACATTAGTCGACCCCTTTGAATTAGCCATAGCTGAGGCACAATAAGTCTCTGTCGAACAATATAAAACAAAACCACATTCAAATTTCTAAAAGTTAAGTATATAAACTTTCCTTGGTAATAAACATAACATAATACTAGTAAGAAAACAAGGAATGGCTCAAGCACAACTTTGACATGCAACAAACAAACAAACAAACAAGAACAGAGAAATCAAAACGAGATGTAATGGAATTCAATTTCGATCCCTTATAATGTGTCAATTCATTTGCTAACACATCTAAATCCTGAATACATATACTCCGAAACTTCCGAGATGGATGAAAAAAGGCAGTAATATTCATTGCAAGATGGAAATGGAAATAACAAATGATGTTAGCAATATTTCTACGCTTTACACAAGATTAGAAAACTCCAATAATGCTGATACTGCAAGTTTTATCCAATCCATGTGCCAGCCAAGAATGAAGAACCCATTCCTAACGCAACACATGTAATTATTTTCCAGCCACTTTGAACACAACTGCTACAGTAATGTATTCCCCTTTAACAAATAAAATAATAATGTTAATTTTCAAACACTATGAGCTAACTCGCTCAATAATAGCCCCTTCAATCCATCCTATTACGATTTTCTTTTCTTTTTCTTTTCTAGGAGAAAACTACAGAAAATAAGAGAAGGAAATACAAAAGCATTCAACTACTATTTATTTCCATTTCGTAGGAAATACAAAATCACGGTAAAATGCCTTTTTGTTTTCCCCCTCAGCTCTCATATATATAATGAAAGAAAAATAAAGGATTCGCGACATTACTCCGTATTTTCCATCCCGCATTTTCTCGGGAATCAAACAGGAAACGACCATAGAAAGGAACACCGAAATCAAACAAAAGGAAATTTCTTTGACAACAGAATCATGTGATTAGAGAAAACAAACAAACAAACGATGAAAGAAGAATAAAAGGAAAACAGAAAGAAGATTCGTTGGTTCTGAGAAGAAAAATCAAAATGCTTTGCGAAAGAGGCGTACTTTGATGGATGGAACAAGGAATCCAGATCTCGAAATGCAATGCGAAAAGTGGAATTATTGAAACTCCAAAATTGAAAAAATGATTCCTCTCCTCTCCTAGGGTTTGGTTATTTCTCTGTTTCCTTTTCTTCTTCAAATAGCTTCTTCTTCTTCTTCTTCTTTCTCTCTCTCTCTCTCTCTCTCTCTCTCTCTCTATGAAGTTTTGGATTGAAAACTAAAAAGTAAAAATCATTCCCATTTTTGCGTTTTTTAAGCTTTGTGTAATTCACACATTCGCCCCTAAATATCTTTTTAATATCACACTCATCTTCTTCTTTTATTGTTATAATTATAATTATTATTTAAGAGTTTAGGCAGTAGTGTGCTCTACTGATAATCTCAGTTTTTAATATTAAATTTAATTAAAATTATTGAAAAACATATATAAAATAAATAAATTTTAATATAATTTTGATAGTTAAAAAATAAAAAATTATCAGTAATTTATTTTTAGAGAAATTATGAGAGAAAATCCCTTATTATTTGTACTTTATATTTTTCAGTTTTTGTAAGAAGAAATTCTCAATTCTATACCAATTAGCTTTCGTTGTGGGGAACACCTACAGCTAGATTGAAAAAGAAATGTACTGTCTTATAATATATAATTACAATTTGATTATCAAATATATATATATATATGGGCATATATATATATTTAGGCAAGGTCTCTGGTCAGGCACTTGGAAAATGTCTGATCAGAACGGCACTTGTATATTTTTATATAAAATGTGTATATTTACAGTAAGTTGTGTATATTCACACGTAAGTTGTGTATATTTACATGACACTTGTATAATTATACAATCGTGTATATTAACATGTAAATCGTGTATATTTACATATAAATCATGTATGTTAAGTTATAAGAAATGATAATGTATATTAATCCTCAAAACATGTTTTTTTTATAGCAATTAGTGAACTCATATCATGAAAATATGTATATTGACTGATTTATTGTATTTCATGTTAAATATACATGACTTTACATGTAAATATACATGATTTACGTATAAATATACACAATTTATACACGATTATACAAGTGCCTGACCAGAGACAATTCCATATATTTATATAATTTCATGGTTTAAAAAAATATTGGACCACAAAATTTTTTTAAATATAAGAATTTATCTTTTAGACTTTTTTCAGTAAGCTTTCTTATTGGTAATATCAGTTTCTAACTATTTAATCTAATTAAAATCACATCAAATTAAAAAATATATGCAGAATAAAACATCTTTTAATAAAAATCTGATGGATGACAACTGATAATATAGAACCACTAGTAGTTTAATTTTTTTTTTATCCTACAAAAGCAACTCCCATCTCTCTTTTTTTTTTTTTTTTTTTTGTTGCTTGGATTTGTAAAGTTATTTTTGCTGCAAGGTTACTTTGAAATGAGTACCATAGTACCATAGTTGAAGCATCTAACTTTAAAACACTTTAGCATGGAACTCTTGAGTATGGACTATGGATCAAATTTGACAATTCATTAATATCCTAAATGCTAATTCCACTAATCTTCTAGGAGTAGTTTCCGAGGCATATCTAGAATCTATTCATATAAATTAACATCTATTTGTAAATTATGTCTATAGTAGCAAATCCGTAATCCTAAATTCCTAACAAATTAATTTACATACATGTACATATTATTTGTTATGGGTTATTAGCCTCATAAGTTTTGCAAGCATAAATAAATCTAGACTTATATATTGTAGGGATAATTTCAATAATTTCCTCAAAATTAAATAGGTTAAATGATTCTTATCTATCCATTGGTAAATTTTTTTACCTCATGTAGAACTCTACTTGGATGAACCACATTAAAAAGTTGAAAAAATGCGAAAAAAAGAAAATAAAATCGTCAAGTCAAACTTTTTATCTTTTGATAAGTGTCACTACGTAAACCTTACTAATAAGTTTGTAAGTATTATTGTTGAAGGACTTGATTGGTTTATGTTTAAACGAGTGATTTTTTATTCTGATCTTAAAAATTTAAATTTTTTTATAAAAAAAAATATCATAACAGAATAAAAAGTATGGATTTAAACGTATAAAATAAATGACCCCTTAATATATGCACCATCTCTTGCTTGGAAAGAAACTGTTTTATATTTTTGGCTTTAAAAGAAACTTTTTTACATTTGTAATGATTTAATTTTTTTTTATTTGAAAGAGGGAAGGGAGATCTTTAATTTAGAAGGAAACTGGATAAAGTGTGGAGTAAGTTGCCAATAATAGTGATATTTCATTTGGCATAAAAAAAAAAAAATGCAAGTGGGAGGGAGAGGGAGACAAGGACACATAAAGTGCATAAGGAGACAACCAAAGTCCAGATATAAAGTGTAAGAAAAGGCCACAACAAAATTCCATACATAATGAAGAAACCAAACAAGTGGACACAGAATTCAAACCCACATTTTGCCTTTGTTGTGATATTTGGGATTTTTTGCCCCCACGTGAGAAAAGAAAAATAAATAAATAAAGCATATTGGTTGCAAACTCAAAGTGACTTTTAATGGAATAACCAAAATTCCCCTTTGTTGAACGACACTAACTTGTTAGGTTTTAACTCAATCAATTAACGTCAATAAAAATGAATGCAATTTTTGTTCACTCTCTTTCTGGACTCCCTTTAAAGCTTGTGTATATGGGAAAAGAAGACAACAACCCTTTAAAGTGTATGTGTGTGGCTCTTTACTCATTTATTTTTATTAACATTCTTTTTAATCAAATAACTATATATTAATAAAAAAGTTATTAATAAAAAATAAGAGGGTAAAAATCCAACTCATGTACTTTCAAAATAAGTCAAACAATTTTTTTAAAGTTTTTTAAGGATCTTCTCGGTACATCAATATACTGGTAGGTTAAATTTTTTGTCCATCAGATCTACTTAAAATCATGTCAAAATCAAAAAATATGTCAATTCAACGGTTAAAAAACTTAACCTATCAGTACTAACGTCAGATGTATCAGAGATTTTTTTATATATAGTCCTACAAATTACATAAATTTGGCATTATGTGTTGTAATGTGTGTTTTGGGATCTTAGATGAAATCTAAATGGGACCCACATGAACCTTAATATTTGTGTAAGATAGAATTTTCCATATTTTATCATTGCGTTGCGTGGAAGTTGGAACGAACGTGTTAAAGAGTATTGAGCAAATTGGCATAATAATAATAATAATAATAATAATAATAATAAGAGGGGAATATAAAATTAAGAAAATTATTGAACTTAATTACTCTACTTTTTATTTATCATTTTTAATTAATATTCTTTTAATTAATATAATTATTTGATTTAAAAAATATATTAATCAAGAATAAAAAATATAAAATAAAAATCTAGAATCATGCAACCCTTTTACCTTATAAAATTTCAATATGTTCTAATAGGAGAATTCTTTAAAGAACAAACAACTTTTGTACAATAATATTGAGATGTCTACAATAAGACATAAAAAAATGAATTATTAGTAGGTTTTTATTTACTCGTCAGATGTGTATTTATAAAAATTATATATTTTGCAAACTTTGCTTTATTTTAATATTATTTTGATAAGATCTTACAGTAAAAAAATAAGTAATACTAGGAGAGAAATAAAAGGATCCAATAATATTAACCATAATAAGTACATGGGTGTCATTTTATGGTGTCATAGATAGTTCATACTAATAGCATCACGTAAAATTATTATTATATTTTTAAGAATGTTTATGGATAGAATAGTACTGCTATTTTATTTTGCTCCTTCCAAAAACATGGATTTTTGCAAATTGAAGAAATCAACCACCAGGGAAATTGTGTTGGCCGCCTCCTTTGGTTGCATCCTTGAAGAATGCTCTCTACCAACTCTCCAACAAACTCTAATGCTGGTCAATTATATATTAATTCCATATAGTGGAAAACACACACAACACAAGAGGACAGCCGAGGTATAATAGTCATATGAATCACCCAAACACACCACAGATGTATAAATGTTGTGAAACAAACAATTATTAATGGACAAACTATTTTTAACGACCAAATAACAAATAACATATATATATATGTATACTCACAGTGGCGGAGCTAGCTCTCAATCTAAGTGAAGGCGTAATAGTACACTAATTATTTAATGTGAAAGTGTAAATATGATACAATGTAAAATATGATGTATATGTTTTATTTGACATTAGTGTAAGACATAAAGATGAAAAAAACCACCATAAAGAGCTCACATATATAGATCCTAAGCATATTAAAAAAGCTCACAAGGAAAATAAGTAAAGTACTTGTTTATGGAAAAATATAAAATTAAAATTAAAATTTAAAATTTAATGGGGGTGTATGAAAATTTTAAATCTAAGTTGGGCAAAATTAAAAAGTTTAAAAGGTCAAATTTTATTTTCAAAAAAATCAGTTGGGCGGCTCCCCCACTCAGCCCTGAATAGATTCGCCACTGTATACTCACACATAATTAATATATACTATGTTGTAAGTGTGTGTATATTTGTATGGATGTAGAAATTTATGTATTGGTTAGAGGAAAGTTGTTGGAAGCCTTATTTAGCTACCATAGCTTGTTTTGTAAGGAAATAAAAGGAAAAAAAAAAAAAAAAAGAGTTGAAGGAGCTAGAAAAGTGAAAATATTAATGGAAGGATTTTAAAGACCTATTGTTATGTATGTAAGACTAGAAAGAAGAGTACGGGATGTACAATTTTTGGCCTCGTTCACTTCACCGATTACAATTTGTGATTTAAGTTGAGTGCGTGATTGAAGTTACAATTCAAAATGGAATTGAAACTGAAATCAAAGTTAGTGTTTAGGAGTGCACATGGGTGATTCAAACCTCCCTCTCAATTCAAGTTATGAGTGTTCACTTCACTAATTTCACAATTCCAACCACAACCCCCATTCAAGTTGGGAAATGAAAAAAAAAAAAAAAAAAAGGGAAAAAAATTGAAAAAAACGGAAATTAAAAAAAAAAAGCATACTACCAATTTGCAATAATGTGCGTATAATGTTATGCACAAAAAGCCAAAATTGCAGATCATTAAATTTGCGACTACAATCCAACATAACCTGTTACAAAATAAATATTTCATAAATGGTCACTGATACGTGTTTAT